GAGCCAGACTCTGGTTCCCAATGCCTTCTCTGACTGAGAGGAACCAGAGCTTTGGGGGAAAGCCTGCCTCCAGGGCTGATTCCAGGGGAGCCTGGAGCATCTGTGCCAGAAAGCAAGAGCATGCTCAAGACTAATGGGGACACACCCCCAGGACCCTACGCCTGGGGAAACACTGTGTTTCCCCAGGCCACAATTAGGACAAGTTGATCATCAGAAACACTAATGACTGTAACCCACTGCAAAACACTGAATAAGTAAAATCCAAGAGTTCTTAGTGATTATCAAAACCCAAAAAGAAAAAAAGTCCAGCCAATTGGTTCAGTCATTGAGCGTTGACCCAGGAACCAAGTTCCATTCCCAGTCAGAGCACACACCTAGGCTGCAGGCTCGGTCCCCAACAGGAGACATGTAGGAGGCAGACAATCAATGTTTCTGTCTCCCCCTCCCTGCCTCTCTCTTTAAAATTAATTATCAATAGTTGCCATTGGAGGTGACTATTGTGTCAACTTATATGAAAATGGATAACGTCTTCACCAGTTTGGCTCAGTGGATAGAGTGTTGACCTGCGGACTGACTAGTCCCAGGTTTGATTCCAGTCAGGGCACATGCCCAGGTTGTGGGCTTGATCCCCAGTGTGGGGCGTGCAGGAGGCAGCCGATCGATGATTCTCTCATCACTGATGTTTCTATCTTTCTCTCCCTCCCTCTCCCTTCCTCTCTAAAGTCAATAAAAATATATTTTTAAAGAAGAAAACCTAACAAACATAAATAGCATCTTGATATCCCAAAATGGGAGATCTGATTTAATAAATTATGAGAAACCTATAAAATAGGATACTATGCACATATTCAAATATTTACTTTTAAAGAACAATAAGAAGTTAAGCATTTAGCCGGGACCGGTTTGGCTCAATGGATAGAGCGTCGGCTTGGGGACTGAAGGGTCCCGGCTTCGATTCCGGTCAAGGGCATGTACCTTGGTTGCGGGCATATCCCCAGTAGGGGGTGTGCAAGAGGCAGCTGATCGATGACTCTCTCTCATCGATGTTTCTAACTCTCTATCTCTCTCCCTTCCTCTCTGTACAAAATCAATAAAATATATTTAAAATAAAAAAAAAGAAGTTAAGCATTTAGGGGGGGCTGGAGTTCTTCTTTACAAAAGGATGTAGAAGGAAATGTAGGATTTTAAAATTTGCTATTTTGCAACCCCCACGATATCGGACAAGGACCATTGGTGGATGCTGAAAGCATGAAGTGGAAGGGTGAAAGGTTGTAGGGAGACGGGATTTGTGCCAAAGCATCATCCAAGATTACTTGCAAATTATTCAGAGGAAAAATATACCTTTTCCGTGGAGGAATCTTAACCAAGAGAGAAAATTTAGCCTCACTGAAAAGGACACAATCAGGCATTCCTGTGCCTGATGGGGTGCATTGAGATGCACACGGCTTCACCCATACCACGTCCTGGCCATCATGTCCAACCTGATGTGATCGTGTCTTTCGACCTCACTTACAGGACGCAGGCAAAGCAGGGAAGCAAGGCATGAACTAATGATGCCACGAGGAGCCATCAGACAAAATCCAGGATGGCTAACATTCCACACGCTATCTGGTCCAGTCTTCTTAAAAAGCCCACATCTTGGATGGGGAGATGGTTCTAGAATTTAAAAGATTAAAAAAACAGCCGAAACTGGTTTGGCTCAATGGATAGAGCGTCAGCTTGGGGACTGAAAGGTCCCAGGTTTGATTCTGGTCAAGGACATGTACCTTGGTTGCGGGCATATCCTCAGTAGGGGGTGTGCAAGAGGCAGCTGATGGATGACTCACTTTCATCGATGTTTCTAACTATCTCTATCTCTCTCCCTTCTTCTCTGTACAAAATCAATAAAAATATATTTTAAAAAAATAAAAATAAAATATTAAAAAAACATAACAACAAAATGCAATGTGTGAAATGTAATTGGATGTTGGTTCAAGAAAATAGCTATAAAGACATGTTGAGGAATCGTTGTGGGAATTTGAATATGGACTTGATACTAGGAAATAACTGTTCAGTGTTCTGGATGTGAGTAGGCAGGAGAATGTCCTTGTTCTTCACCGATGAAAGGTTGAAGTGTTTAGGGGTGAAATGCCATGACCATTGCAACTTACTTCGAAATGGTTCAGCAGGAAATAGAGGGAGGGGCAGATAGGTAGGTAGAAAAATAGATAAAGCAAATATGGCAAATCAGTAACAAGTGTTGCATTAAGGTGGTGGCTCTGCTGATGTTCATTGTACTGTTACCCAATGTTGTCATAGTTTGAAATTTTTCAAAATAAAAAGTTTAAACATATTGTCAAAGAGAACCAGAAAATCATCGTTTTGTCATCCTAGTAATAGTGAATTCAGCAAGAGTCATCAATAGATACTTCTTAAAAAATATTTTTTATTGATTTCAGGGAAGGAGGGAGAGAGAGAGAGAGAGAGAGAGAGAGAGAGAGATCCTATATAATTATCCTATATGATAAAAGGGTAATATGCAAATTGACTCTAAGGGCAGAGCAATCACAACGACCACTCGACCAGAACGACCAGTCACTATGAGGTGCACAGACAGACTCCAAATGCCTGATAGCCGGCATCTGACCCGCATGGCACCCACGTGCTTTATGCCTCCCGGGACTGTTTTCCAATTGTTCCCTTTGCCCACTTCCTCCTGGATTAGACCACTCCATCCTCGACCGGCTTCGGTTTTCCTTGTCCATCTTCACACTGGCGTGTTAGCACAGCGCTGGATAAGGCGTACGACCCCTCAAAATCTTCCCAACCCATCATCTTCACAAAGCATTCAACCAGTGCCCAGAAGAAAGGAGGTGGGTAAGAACAGATACTTTTGGGCCCTCTAACAACCTTTGGGCTTACCGTGGAAGGGATGTGAACCAACAAGCACACAAGCCACGAGGACTCACACAACACATTCCAAACAAGGACTTCTGACAACCGGCACCGTAAGCTGAGAGCCGGAAGCACCCGGCTGGGAGTCTCCCTCTGGCCTTACTGATTCTCCTCCTGAAGAATACTACTGTACATCCTCGAGATTGTGTTTTCTGGTCTCCCCCACTCCCCTGGGCTCTTCTGGGAGAAGGGACGGCCTCGGTGGCTTCGTCCCTGCGTGACCTTCTCCATTTCCGCATGCCTGGCTCTGCCCACTGCAGCAGGCATCCGCGGCCACAGAGCTGCCTGCAGGGAATGCTCAGCCTCAGTCCCGTCACAGAGAACAGCCCGGGGAGGTGGAGGGAGCGGAGCTTCAGGGTCTGACAAAGCTGGGACAGTACTTCACAAGCGAGGTGACATTTCTGGGTAAGTATGTGACCTCAGGCAAGGCCCACGGCCTCCAAGCCTCGGTTTCTTCTGAAAAACTGCAGATCACAAGCCTGACTTCCTCCCTCGAACAAATGGGTGGATTGAGATGACACAGACCTCCCCGCTTTGGCCAATGTTTTGAAACATGAGTGACCGCCAGGGGCCATCTGTCCAGCCATGTCCCCTAGATGCAGGGCAACCCCTGAGGGGGCAGGGCAAGGTCATCCATTCTGAATGCCTCCACTCTGTCCTCCCAATCTCTCTGAACAGACGCAGGCACAATCTGGTTACCGTGAATGGCAGGCATCAGAGACGGACTGGAAGGACTTAATACTGACTCCCTAGGAGGCTGTAAGAAGCAGGAGGCACCCCTTACAGAGCCAGGCTGCCTGGTTCAAATCCCAGCTCCACCACTTACTGGCCCTGTGAGCGTGGGCAGGGCGACCTAATCTCTGCACCTCGATTTCCTCATCCATAAACCAGGAATGATATCAGTGGCATCGACGTCATAGCGTTGCTCTGAGAATCGAATGAGTTAATGCATCAATGTAGAGCACCTAGGTGTGCCTGCATCTCATGGAAGCTGATACATCCACACACCACGGAATTAAAACTGCTGCCAGTTCAAGTAGGACACCTCATCAATGAAAACACATATTGGTTTCAGAAATGTGAAACAGCCGGAACCGGTTTGGCTCAGTGGACAGAGCGTCGACCTGCGGACTGAAGGGTCCCCGGTTCGATTCCGGTCAAGGGCATGTACCTTGGTTGCGGGCACATCCCCTCTGGGGGGTGTGCAGGAGGCAGCTGGTCGATGTTTCTCTCTCATTGATGTTTCTAGATCTCTATCCCTCTCCCTTCCTCTCTGTAAAAAGTCAATAGAATATATATTTAAAAAAAAATTAAAAAAAAGAAAGAAATGTGAAGCAAACAGGTGTGTCTTAACATGGGTGAAGTACAAAGTGACATTGGAGACTTGGAGTGGAAATACGTTAGCATTAGGCTTAGGGCTCAAATCCCAAGCCCACCACCTGGGCGACTTTAGACGTGACCCTTCACCTCTCTGTGCCTCAGTTTCCCCTCCGGCACGTGCGGATCGCATTACAAGGACTCACCTCCCAGGACGAGGGGGAATAAGTGCTACAGAACTCAGAAGGCGCCTGGTACAGGGCAGGCGCTGTCGTTGCTATTAGGGAAAAGTTATCCTTTCCAGGTTGGAGCGGGGCTATGGGAGGGCGAAGGGGACATGCCCAGCTGGATTCGTAGCCAGAGGGTCCTGGCCTCCCCTGCCCTTCGAGCAGCGCGAAAGCCCGAGGCACAGGGACCCCGCCCCCCGCCCGCCAGGCCGGTCCGCCCCGCCGGCCCCGCCCCCTCGCGGCTCCCGCCCCGCGCTCGCTAGTCTCGCGCACTTTCCGGCCGGGACCCCGGCCGGCGGTTGGTTGGGCGATACCATCTGTCCCGCTATGTGGGGGGAGATACAAACCTACGCATCCATATTTTCCAGTTTTATAGATTTTTAGACACAGGTATTTATCCATTTTTATCCTTTCCATTTCTCATATCTGTTAAGCGTCCCAGGAGGGAAACCTCGCTCCCCGGGGAGCGGGTCGTGGAGTCTCCGAAAGGCGCGCTCCCCCTCCAGTCGGGGAGCCGTGGGCGCGGCGACGGCCGTCGGGCGGAGGAGGCGGCCCCAGCGCCATTTTGTGGGAGCGAAGCGGTCGCTGGGCTGTTCCCGGATTCCCGGCTTCTTGACTCTTCTTGTCGGGCCTCCTGTCAGCGGCCTAGCGGGTGAGTCGCGGCCGCTCCTCACTCAGGGCGGCCCGGGAGCCTCGGCTCCGCCCGGCTGGGCCGGGGATGGACTCAGCGGCTGCGGCCCCCGCCCGGCCTGGCGCGGCTGTCAGCGGGGCCGGAGCGAGGACGCGCAGCCCGAGCCGAGGTTTGTCCCGGCCTGGGCACCCGGGCAACGCCTGGTGCCTTCGGGACTGTGCCCTCCGGGGGGCACTGCCCGCTCAGGCCCGGCGCCCTGCGGCCCGTGGGCCGCGCCGCGCCGCCGGGGCCTCAGCTGTCACGCACGGGCTTCTGGGAGGCCGCGGCCCGCGTCGCTCGGGACCTGACGCCGGCGCTGCCCTTGGGGCTCAAGTTGGGAGATCCCCGAAGTCCCAGGATGAGGAACAGAGAGGACTTCTCCCCTGTGTGTCCCCTGCACCCGGCTCCCTGCGCCCGATCGGTCCTGAGACTTAGCTGCTCAGCGCTTTCTTAGGGAATTGACTTCGGACCTCTCCCCCACCCACACCCCCTCCACCCCACTCCTCCCACCCACGCCATCGACTGCTCTCCAGGACACCCATCACGATTGCAATAAGATAGTGACTCCTTTGCTATCTTCCTCCTGCTCACCGCACCCCTCGTCACCAGCATGCCACCCGAAACTACGGGCTTCCCATTTGCAGCACCAGATGCATAGTAGGCACTCAGCAGATGTTCATGGAATGAATGAGCGAACGGGGCATCCCATTTTAATAGGACTTACCATCTTTGCCTCCTAAATATTTAGTTTCAGGGATAGCCAATATGTATACAAGAACCCAGACAGCAAGGATTTTTCTGGAAGTCCTAGGACAATGGCGGGGTAGTGATAACTCATCGGCTGGTTATAAGGAAACGGTTCCTTTTGACACAAGTGTGAGTCACTCATCTCTCTTTTTTCCATTTAAGAAAAACAGAAGATGTCGGAGTATATCCGGGTAACGGAAGATGAGAACGATGAGCCCATTGAAATACCCTCGGAAGACGATGGGACGGTGCTGCTGTCCACAGTCACGGCCCAGTTTCCGGGGGCGTGCGGGCTGCGCTACCGCAACCCCGTGTCCCAGTGCATGCGGGGCGTCCGGCTGGTGGAAGGGATTCTGCATGCCCCGGACGCTGGCTGGGGAAACCTGGTGTATGTTGTCAACTACCCCAAAGGTGCGGGGCCGCTCAAGTCCAGTCGTGTTTGTGTCTCATTGTGCGTCGTAGATGGCGTCTGTAACCCACGTATTTCTTTAAATGTTACTATCAGACTAGTTTGTAAGACCACTAGTTTAAATGAGTGGAAACTGCAAGTTACAGAACTTTTTGTAAAAGTGAAAACTATTTAAATATGGGAACAGATGTTACCATGTTGTGTAGACAGTGATGTATCCGATAGGGCCCTCATTTGTAACAAATGTGTCAGCATGGGAGGGGTGTTGGTGGGAGAGGCTGTGTGTGTGGAGGAAGGGCAGTGTATGGGAAACCTCTGCCTGCCTCTCAGTTTTGCGGTGAACCTATAATTGTTCAAAAATGTCTCTTTTTTTTTAATTTTTCATTCAGTTCTTCTCTTGCCTTTATATTTTTGCTTTTTGAAAATAACCTAAGATATTACAGAAATCAATGTGCCTTTATTGAAAGTTTAGAAAATTGAAATCACCCTACATCTACAGCTAGAAATAAAAGTTGCTGATTTTATTTTTATTTTTTGGCAGATAGCCTTTAAGTTATAGGCATTAAAATAAGTACATTTTAACAGGCAAAAAAATATGGTAATTACTCTTTTAACCTGTTATTTTTTCCCACTCAATGTATTTCCATGTCAGAGTGAAGTAGAATTGTTTGATATACCGTCAGAGAGGGGAGAATATATATTTGTAATCTTGTGACACTACAGAACCAGAGGTCTGACTCCCTGGATTTGCACTCGATCCTTTATTCTGTCTTGAGAGCTGACATTACTCTTTGCCAAAAGTTGAAACATGTTTATGTTCTTAGAATCTTTTCGCTTCTCACTTCTAGACGTAGGAGGCAGCATGTTCTGAGACGTGTTACATGAGAGTTCTAAAAGGTTTCTGCTCTTTTGTTTAGATAACAAAAGGAAAATGGATGAAACAGATGCTTCGTCAGCAGTGAAAGTGAAAAGAGCCGTCCAGAAGACATCTGACTTGATAGTGCTGGGTCTGCCGTGGAAAACCACGGAGCAGGACCTGAAAGAATACTTCAGTACCTTCGGAGAAGTGCTCATGGTGCAGGTAAGCCTGGGTTTCATTAACAGCTTTTCTCTTTCTGGGGGAATGAGCCCCCGAATTCCTGTTTTAGTAACTCTGCCCTTCATCGTCCACAGACAGTGTTTTTAATTTAAGATTCGTAAACGTTAGATCTAGTTTATCTTTGCATTCTAAAACATTTTGTTGAAATTCTAATATATAACAGTCTTACTCTGATATAAACAGGATCTAAACTCAAAATAGATTTATTCTTGGGGTTTTATTCTTGGCCTAAGTTTTAATTAAGCCACTGCATCCAATTGAAGCCATTCACGTTGTCAAAGAACTTTCCATTTGGTTATAAGTCTGTGTTGTTTTAGTAAATTTAAATGATTTTTTCCCTAGGTCAAGAAAGATATTAAAACTGGTCATTCAAAGGGGTTTGGGTTTGTTCGATTTACGGAATACGAAACCCAGGTGAAAGTAATGTCACAGAGACATATGATAGACGGACGATGGTGTGACTGTAAACTTCCTAATTCTAAGGTACTTTGCGTTTTTTATTTCGTCCCTTTTTTGCTTTTTCTATTTCTGCTTCGGTAACTTTTGCTGACAAACTTCCTATAGAAGACACTATAAAATAAAATGTTAAATATGCTTGGGAAGGTAATGTCAGGATGTTTTCTTAGAACCTCTTGGCTGGTTAAAGCCTTGGGTCCTTAATGCATGCTGGATACTTTAATATTTTATAATGCATGCTGAATATAATAATATTTAGTTTAATATCCCTCTAAACTAAACTTGGTTAGCAATCTTACATAGTTACATGTTAAAACGTGAAGATGATCAGAGTGCAGTAACCTTGTTAGAAAAGCCTAACTTGTTCCAAGCAAGACTTGCTTATTTGGAACTTTATTATCATTTTGCCAGGACATTGATTAGCCATTGACTTTTCTAGATCCAAACATACTTTCATGAACTTAAAACTGTATTTGTCATCTTAGTCTTACAAGGAGGAGTGCTAATGCAAAAAAATAAAATGTGCTTATTTTAATGACTCACCTGAGGTACAAGACAGCGAGGTTCCGTTCCATCCTCCACCGCAATGCCTTTTCCACTCTCATAAAATATTTCTGACTGTCTGTCCTGCCTTTGAATTGCTCAGCAAAGCCCAGATGAGCCCCTGAGAAGCAGGAAGGTGTTCGTCGGGCGCTGTACGGAGGACATGACGGCTGACGAGCTGCGGCAGTTCTTCTGCCAGTACGGAGAGGTGGTGGACGTCTTCATCCCCAAGCCGTTCAGGGCTTTTGCCTTTGTCACATTTGCAGATGACCAGGTATTTTTCTCCTTAAAACTTCTATCCCAGCTAATGTGTAATTTGAACATTTCCCATCCAGCTAATTGCCATCCGTAACTAAGCTTTCTGACCTTATAAGCTGGGCAAGGTATATGGACCTAGATATCTGTGATAAACATTTTAATACTTATCAGTATGTGGTGTTTAACCAAGAGTGTTATACATCTTTAGAAAGCAAACTAAAAAATTCTTACTGCCATTACTAAAGCTAACGCCTATTTGAGTTTAAATGAAATGAGCATTGATTGTTTATTTCTCCTTCAGTGTAGACAATGGCTTGAAAGCTAAGTTTTATTGCTCCTTTGAAGTACATGTCAGTGGTTTAATCGCCTGTATTTACACCCTTATTTTCTTGTAGGTGGCCCAGTCTCTCTGTGGCGAGGACTTGATCATTAAAGGAATCAGCGTACATATATCCAATGCTGAGCCTAAGCACAATAGCAATAGGCAGTTAGAGAGGAGCGGAAGGTTCGGTGGGAACCCAGGGGGCTTTGGGAATCAGGGTGGCTTCGGGAACAGCAGGGGGGGCGGAGCTGGCTTGGGAAATAACCAGGGTAGCAACATGGGTGGAGGGATGAACTTCGGCGCTTTCAGCATCAATCCAGCCATGATGGCTGCAGCCCAGGCAGCGCTGCAGAGCAGCTGGGGAATGATGGGCATGCTAGCCAGTCAGCAGAACCAGTCAGGCCCATCAGGTAACAACCAAAGCCAGGGCAACATGCAGAGAGAGCCGAATCAGGCCTTTGGGTCTGGAAATAACTCCTACAGTGGTTCCAATTCAGGGGCAGCGATTGGCTGGGGGTCAGCTTCCAATGCAGGGTCAGGCAGTGGTTTTAACGGAGGCTTTGGCTCAAGCATGGATTCCAAACCTTCCAGCTGGGGAATGTAGACAGTGGATGACGGTTGGTTGTATAGACTGGTGGGAATTCAAATTTTTCTAAACTCATGGTAAGTATATTGTAAAATACATATGTACTAAGAATTTTCCAAATTGGTTTGTTCAGTGTGGAGTATATTCAGCAGTATTTTTGACATTTTTCTTTAGAAAAAGAGGAAGAGTTAAAGGAATTTTATAAGTTTTGTTACATAAAGGGTTGAAATACTGAGTGTTTGAAAGTGAACTGCTGTTTGCCTGATTGGTAAACCAACACACTACAATTGATATCAAAAGGTTTCTCCTGTAACATTTTATCCCTGGACTTGTCAAGTGAATTCTTTGCATGTTCAAAATGGAAACCATTAATTAGAACTACATTCTTTTCTTTTCATTTGAACCCCACCACATGGATTTTTTCCTTAGGAATGTCTCCTTTTGGGGGATCATGGTGTCACAGTGTTTGGTTCTTTTGTTTTTGTTTTTTAACACTTGTCTCCCTTCATATGCAAAAGTACAATATGAAGCCTTCATTTAATCTCTGCAGTTCATCTCATTTCAAATGTTTATGGAAGAAGCACTTCATTGAAAGTAGTGCTGTAAAAATTCTGCCATAGGAACACTTCTGTCTACGTGCTTTCTCATCCAAGATTGCGTCATCACACTGCACAGGCTGCGTCTCTGACGGTGGGTGTCCCATTTTTATCCGCTACTCTTTATTTCATGGAGTATCAACGCTGTGAACGCAAGGCTGTGATATGGAACCAGAAGGCTGTTTGAACTTTTGAAACCTTGTGTGGGATTGATGGTGGTGCCGAGGCATGAAAGGCTAGTATGAGCGAGAAAAGGAGAGAGCGCGTGCAGAGACAGTGGTGCAAAATGGATATTTTTTAACTTGGCGAGATGTGTCTCTCCATCCTGTGGCTTTGGTGAGAGAGTGTGCAGAGAGCAATGATAGCAAATAACGTACGAATGTTCTTGCATTCAAAGGACAGCCACATCTGTTGGAAGACTTTAAGTGAGTTTTGTTCTTAGATAACCCTCATTAGTTGAATGTGTTAAGTGAAACGATACTTGTATTTCCCCTACCCCCTTGTCAACTGCTGTGAATGCTGTATGGTGTGTGTTCTCCTCTGTCACTGATCTGTAAGTGTGGCCATGTGAACTGAAGCTGGTGGGTTGAGAACATGGACTGAGCTTGTGGCGTGCTTTGCAGGAGTACTTGGACGCAGAGTTCACCAGTGAGCTGGGGGAGTCTCACGGAAGGGTGGAAGTTCTCATGTCTGTTAGCTGCCCCTAAGAATGCTGTTTGCTGCAGTTCTGTGTCCTGTGCTTGGATGCTTTTTATAAGAGTTGTCAATGTTGGAAATTCTTAAATAAAACTGATTTAAATAATATGTGTCTTTGTTTTGCAGCCCTGAATGCAAAGAATTCATAGCAGTTAATTCCCCTTTTTTGACCCTTTTGAGATGGAACTTTCATAAAGTTTCTTGGCAATAGTTTATTTTGCTTCAAATAAACTTATTTGAAAAGTTGTCTCAAGTCAAATGGATTCATCACCTGTCATGCATTGACACCTGATACCCAGACTTAATTGCTATTTGTTCTTGCATTGTCCAAAGTGAAAAGTTTTGTATTTTTTTCTTTTTAAACCTAGTTTTTAATAAGTCTGGGTGACCGCACCTAAAATGGTAAGCAGTACGCTCTGGCTTTTCCTTAGTGCCTCTGTGCATTGGGTGATGTTCTGTTTACATGGCCTGTTAAATCTCCATTGGGAAATCGTGCCTCCTAAAAATCTTATTGGGGGAGTGGGCAAAACTGTTAATTATTTTTAAATGCTTTGTAGCAAAGCATATCAATTGGAAGGGAATATTAGCACCTTTTGAGTTTGGTATTTGAAAAGTGGAATTAATTGCAATGGGGATAAAAGTAGAAGAAACCACAAATTATCTTGTGCCTGAAATCCATTAAGCTTGATGGCTTTAAGAACCATCAGGGTGTGGTGGGTTGTCTGTGAAAGTGTTAAGTGAAAGGGGCTTGGCCTCCCAGAGGGGGTAATGCAGTCATGCCGAATAAAATCGTTTACAAAACTCGGATTAGACTCTCACGATGCATTGTTAAGTGTGTAAAAGCAATAATATATCGATTGTACTTTTTATGTAACTACTGCTATGAGAGTTGAGCTTGTTTTCTAATGGAAGAATGTAACAGTTCTTGTGTTGATAGTTTACCTAATGCCCTTATCTAATTAGATTATGATAAATAGGATTTTTCAAGTTACATGTTTTAAACTTTTATAAGTGAAGTCATCCTTTAGACTTGTGACCCCCGCATTGTTTCGTTCAGTTTCCTCTGTAAAAGGATCTTGCAGTTGTTTAAATTTTTTTTTCTGCATCTAAATTGCATGATTTCCAAACCCTGTACCATCTGAATTTTGCATTTTAGCACTTGCACTATTACTCAGCAGCAGTAACATGGTAACACTTAAAATGGTATTCGGGGACATCCAAAGACTAAACTGACAAGCCTTCAAGGAGCCCAGGGGTAAGTTACCTTGTCAATGGCATGGTTTTAATCCCTCTTTACACTTGTGTAAATCTAGTCATTGGTCTTAAAGGCTTTCAATGTTGAGTAGCCTTCGGTTAATATGTTTGTGGTAATAATACATAGCTATGGGCCTTTAATTCTATCCTAAATTTTTTTTCTTTTTTTTGAAGTTTAGAAGTAAACTATTTGGCAAAGATTTGTTTTTAACATCTATTTGGTCATCTAACTGCATTCATTCTAAACATTTTTTTGAACCAGTTGAATAAAAATTTTTGTTGCCACCAGTTTAGTGTCTGGAGTCTTACTGGGAAAACAGTTTCCTTTTTATATGTGACAAAAATGCTGTAAAGTTACCTTTAAAAGTGAGTCTCAAGAAGTTGCACTTTATATGCACAAGAGAAATTAGGACAAAACTCACAATGAATGTTTAAATACAATGGTAACTGGCTAGAATGAAAAGCTTTGTTAGATGTTAGCTCTTAAAACTTTTTAGGAAGGACTAGCCAACTAAAATGAATTATTTTTAAGGTTAAGTCAGAGCTTAAATTTTGCCCTTAGGAAAAAGAAGTTAACCACTTACTTCGGAAGATGTATGTGATAATTAGAATAATTTTTTGTTGTTGAGTACTAGGACAGTAGCTCTTAGTTGTGTATCCGGGTTGTGTACTTAGGTATTGTGTGATCTGTGGTCTGTTGTTTGGCTGAGTGTGACCCTGTTTTACATGCTTATTGTAAGAAGGAAAAAAAAATACAGGTTTATCTATAATATCACCGTTTACTTCCGGTGTTGTCTTCTGGATTTGAACATTAATTAGGGTATTTCTAAGTGCTCGGAGCATGCCTGACTTAAGTTCTTAGCATTGGAATTACTAGGTTAAGACTGCATGTTTTTAAGGCTTTTGAAATACATTGCAAAATTTTCCTTTAGAAAATCTTTGTTGTCTTTGACAATGTGAATAGTGCTATTCCATGTTCATTTTGTCTACCAATTTGATAAGTGCAAAATTATATCACTGTTTTTGTGATACTGGTTTTTGTTTTTGTGATACTGGTTTTTAACATGGAAATTAGTACCTAGGCCAAAGTATTGATGTTTCCAGTTCATCTACAAAAGTCCATGATTCAAGGTTATCCTCAACCAGTACTGCTGTAATGTATAAAGCTTTCACAGAGTAAGAATAAGTCGAAAAATACTCAACGAGCATGCACAGGCAATTTCCAGAAACACAATTATAAAAAAGCCAGTGCGGAAAGATACTGGGCTTTGTGAGTAATGCGATGCAGACCTGACCAGTGCGTTTCTGTTGCTTCGGCAACGACAAGCATCGCTGTGCTTTATGCCCCTGGAACCGAATGGAAAGGGGGACACACTGGCCAGCCTCTCGCTGGAGGAGGGTTTTGCTTTTTGGGGCGACAGTGGCTGGGCTACTATTTCCCGGGTCACATTGCTGCTGAGATCTTTTATAGGCATTTTTTGAAAGGAATTATTTACTGATTGAAAACATACAAATTAAAAGTTATTCATTATTCTCTTGATCCAGGGAATATAGTTAATGACTTTTGTATAGACCCCATACACTTGTGCTGCCCCACAATGAATGGAGCCCCAGGACACTATCCCTCCCACAAACCACCTGTGTGTGTCGTTGTGGAGAAACACTAAGGCCCCTCCGCTGTCGCCTCCACAGCTGTCCCTGCCCCCGCTCTCCACGCCCGCACACAGCATGTTGGCGGTTACCTGGGGGTGCAGCGGCTTCTTGGCATAGGCAGCGGCACATTTTTTCTGATCCACAATTGGTACCTCGACAAACTGTAGATTTGTGGCAAGAAAGCCGCTCTGGGTTAATCCCCATCCGGACACAGTTCCAGTGGTGTCGGTCCTCATGAGGGACTCGGCATCTTCTCCCGGCAAGCACACAGGCATGATGTTGCTGTTGACCGCAACTCTGTTCTGCAGTTTGATCAGGGCTATGTCGTTATCGAAACCAGCGCCATCCCTGTAGCCTTCGTGTATGAACACGGCCTCCGCCCAGGCTTGTGTGTGCTGAGGGGACAGTCTCTTCAGGGCGCCCATCCGGATGTTGAGGGAGGAGGCGGCGTCTTTTTGCGCGTAGACAGCATGAGCCGCCGTCAGGATCCAGTTGTCAGACAGAAGCGCCCCTGCTGCTATTGTTGTGTCGCCCAGTAGCAGGACTTGCCAAGGAAAGTCACCAAGCCTTGCGTTCTGCCCTCCGTATATGCGAGCTCCGGCTGTGCGGGCTGACATTCCGCACGCTGGGGAGAGAAGCAGATAGGCAGGCCTGTGTAGAGACCACTGGTGCTGTTCTCCACTCAGCACTTGGGACTTGTTAACACTTCACATGAACCCAAAATTGTGTCACAAGTTGGTGGGTGCCCACCTGTACAGGCAAGTGAGGCCACCTTACCACAGCACAGCTCAGAGGCCCAGTGGGCAGTTCTTAGCTCCTCAGAAAGTGAGGTGGGTAGCATTGCTTTGAGAAACTGTTATTTGTTCTGCAAAATAAAAGGTCTACACAGTTGGGGGGGGGGCGGGGGGCAAGCAGGAATTGTCTTGAGCTGATGCCTTGGGTGATGAGAATAGGAAGTGAAAGGAAATAACCTTTTCATTGCCTCTGTTCTCCTGCTTTACAATGGGGTGGTTACCATGCGGTTCTGTGAAAGCAGGAGTTAAGGTCACTGTCATAGGAGTGGCGAAATTAACCTTTGAACATTTAAATGCCTTAAAAATTAGAAGGTTGCAGCTACAGCCAGGAACCTTCAGGTTCAGAAATTTTTTTTTTCATCCAGTTGGTTCTTCCAAACACTAAGTTTTACTCTATATTACTAAGGCAATTCACTCATTAATGTACCAAATGTTTCCTATTGTGGCAGAATACTTGCATTGAAACTTGTAAACGTGGTGTCAGCTAAAATCAAACAACTAACTTAAGCCAAATAACACAGGGGTAATGAATATATTATTACCTTTCTGATTTTTTTAATATCTATTCAACTATATCTTCAGAGCCAATTCTGGTTTAAAAAAATTTTAAGTACTATTAAAAGGCAAATTGCATTAATGTTTAAAAACTAGATGTCATTGAAAACAATTGCTTAGGGAAATAATGAAGTTATTAGCTTTGGGTTTTAATAGCATTTTTAACAGGGAAGAAAAGTAACAACAGAGGAACTTACGCTTATAAATGTATAAATGGTTCAAGATAATTTAAAAAATCATTTAATTTTTTATGCTTGCCTAGTTGTAAGGCCAAAATAATCAAATGACTGATGCAGTCAGCACCTAACAACCTCTCCATATGGAAAGGGGATAATGAGAACGTATTATTTGGAAATAATAACTTGGTCTAAGAGCCAAGTACCGAAGTTACATTTCTGCCCACCACAGCTAAAGCTCTCCTTATTGTCTCCGGCCCATCCTCCTCTCCATCAATTACGAATCTCTTGTATAAATGTGTCCATTACCGGGCTCACAGGCCGGGAGCGATTTTTCTCCTTTGGAGCTCGTCCAGAATCCATCAGCCTCACACACATATTTACCTGCAAATCATGGGAAAAGCACACATGTTTAACTGCATGTATAAGGTGGTTGTCATTTGCTTGAAAACCCCCTTAAAAAATGTTGATTCTTGAGCATCAGTGGGAAATAGAGGTGTCTGAATAACCATTTTACATGATTTCATAAATAGGAGGTCTCTGCATTACCATGTTTGCTTGCAAAGTGGAAACCTTTTAGATGTGTAACTTGAATATGTATCAAGATCTCAAGTGCTTAATGATAAGGTTTTGACTTGTTAAATTAAACCATTTGGAATATATTGTGTGTTTGTGGTAGTCATTTACCAGATAAGATCTGTTTTCAGATTCTTGCAAATTGACATTAAAGTCAGTTCAGCTGTAATATTTCACTTAGCTGGGGGGAGAAGTGCCTTTTAATCTTTTGCCCGGCCTTAGCCAAAACGGTGGCTAAAGTTTCTTTCCAGCCGGGAGGGCTTCGGTTCCAAGCAGCGCCCACCCCAGCTTGGAGCCCCTGCTTACCGTCCCCTCCTGCCATGGTGTAGAAGGTCTCGTTGCAGCGGTACTGGACCTCCGCTCCGTACACGGTCACCTCGGGGCCTGTGAGGTACTCCAGGCGGCCACCGGGCAGGGCCTCGGGGGGGCCGCAGTCCACAACTAAGGGACAGGGAGGGAGGAGTCGGTGTCCACTTGTTCTGGCATTGAGAAGGTGTGGAGACCATGGTGAGCCCTCGTGCTGGCCCAGTGCAGCCCCTGCGGGTGGCGGGGGGCCCCTAAGGGAAGGGGGTCTGAGACCACGCGCTTCCTCTCCGCTGTCACTCTGACAAAGGCCCGCAGCCACGGGGGAGGGCACAGCCTGCACCGCTGTGCTGTCTAGCCCCACCCAGAAGGGCGCTCAGACAGTACAAAGCTGATCCCTTTCCTAAAGGGAACTACTGTCAGAGAAAGGCAGGCAGAGAGAGAGAGACATGGATCAGCCGCCTCCTGCACGCCCCACCCTGGACGGAAGCCACAGCTTGTGTGTGTGCCCAGCCCAGCGGTCAAACCCACCACCGTCTGGCGTACACATGATGCTCCAACCAACTGAGGGCTCAAGAATGGAACTTTTTAGAAGACCTGCAAGTCCTTGGATTTGGATTAGAATTCACACTTGGGACATTGCTAATATGAAGTAGCTAACCAATTTGTGAGACAGTGCTAAAAGTTCACACAGCTGAAACCGGTTTTGCTCAGAGGATAGAGTGTCGGTCTGCGAACTGAAGGGTCCCAGGTTCGATTCCGGTCAAGGGCATGTACATTGATTGTGGGCACATCCCTGGTACTAGGTGTGCAGGAGGCAGCTGATCTATGTTTCTCTTCCCTTGATTTTTCTAACTATTCTCCCTTTCTTGGTGTTAACTACAGCAAGAGCATGTAACAGTAAAAAAAAAAAAGGTGGTGAGGTGGGGGAGAACAATGGATGTTAGATTAAATAAAAGCATGGTGTGATCAAATGCTATACGGTCATTAACAAGAGTGAGAGGCTCTATTAATACTAAACTGATGTGGAAAGATAACCCAACAAGATGGAGAAAAGCAATTGCAATCATTAAGTAGCCCATTTTGGTTAAAAAAACAAACACAATAGCCCTAGCAGTTTGGCTCAGTGGATAGAATGTCAGCCGGTGGACTGAAGGATCCCAGGTTGCAGGTTCAATCCCCAGCCCTGGTCAACCAATCCATGTGTGTGTCTCACATCAATGTTTGTCTGTCTCTCCTCCCACTAAAAAAAAAAGGAAAAAAGACTGAAACCCACACAGGAGCGCACACACACCCTCACCTTCCCCTTCCTCTGCTTTCCTGCCTGCTCGCTGCCCCCACCCCACCCCACCCAGCATGTTACCTTTCCTCTCTCCTAAGCTCCAAGGCCCCTCTGCCGCCAACTTACTTCCTCAGCCCATTTCTCCCATGGAGCACTTCTTCCTCTCTACAGTTGTTCTAATAGAATTTTTATTGATTTCAGAGAGGGAGGGAGAGAGAGAAACATCAATGATGAGAGAATCATTGATTGGCTGCCCCTTTCATGCCCCTTTGGGGACTGAGTCTGCAACCCAAAATACTGGTATTCCCTGCCCGGGGATTGAACCATGACCTCCTGGTTCATGGGCCAGCGCTCAACCACTGAGCCTTGCCAGCCAGACTGTAATTTTCTAATTAAACTAGCTTACAAGTGAAAAAAATGAGCATATAATAGTGAAATACTTCAATATATATAACATAGGAGATAAAGAATATGACAGAATAGACTCCAAACTCTCAGTGGTAGTTTAGGGATTTGGTCAAGAGTGGCTTTAACTATATATTTTTGTAAATTTATATATTTTCCAATTATTAACGTGTATTTAAGATTTGGTACATGATGCTGAAACCGGTTTGGCTCAGTGGATAGAGTGTCAGCCTGCGGACTGAAAGGTCCCAGGTTCAATTCCGGTCAAGGGCATGGTACCTTGGTTGCGGGCACATCCCCGGCAGGGAGTGTGCAGGAGGCAGCTGGTTGATGTTTCTCTCTCATCGATGTTTCTAACTCTCTCTCCCTCTCCCTTCCTCTCTGTAAAAAATCAATAAAAGTATATAAAAAATTAAATCTCAAAAAAGATAAGATACATGATTCTTAGTTCACCAAATGATTCTTAATGTACACCATTGTCCCAGTTTGGTGTGTGTGTGTCCTAACCTGTGTGCGTATGTGAGATACATGATTGGAGTGATATACACCAAAACAGTTAGTGGTAAGAGTTGTACAGTGGGAATATGGGTATTATAGTGTCATTCTGTTTCCCATCTTCTACATGTATTTTATGCTTAGAAAAAGATATTTTTAAAGATAACACATTTAAAAGCAAATAATTGCCCTGGCCAAGTGGCTCAATGAGTGTCATTCCATGCACGGAAGAGTGTCAGATTGTATTTCCAGTCAGGGCACATACCCAGGTTTCAGGTTCAATCCCTGGTCAGGGTGATGTTTCTCCCTCCCTCCCTCCCTTTCTTCCTCCTTCCCCTCCCTCCTTCTCTCCTTCTCTCCCTAAAATCAATTAAAAGGAAATAATTATCCTACAAGCTCGGTTTCATTTTAACCTCTTAAAGCGCACTGGGAACCTGGGGAAGAGAAGCAGATTTGGAATTCCATCCCCGAAAAATAGCATCCTTTTTACAAAGGGCCAGAAGCAGCAGCAGAAGCCATGACAGCAGCAGAAGCTCAGGGGTTGTCATGTGACCATACTGCTGCATTCTGGCATCGGTTGGTCCCAAGATCCATCCTTCTGACAGACCGCAGTAAATGATCTCAGGGGCAAAGGACCCTAAAGAGGAAGGGGAAAGATTAATTTCCTTGTTTACATCAGAAAATCACGCCCCAAACCTACGCCCCCACTGTAGTTAGTTCCTCTGCTAGTGTTTCACCAGATGCTCCCAAGGGGGCGATACACCCCATGACGGACGCACAGCCCAACTCTGGCTTCGGGCAGGGGCCAGGGGCTGCTGCGTACGCCACCTGTCATTTTAGGATCAAATACGAAGTGCCATGGGGAGGTGGTCATTAGGGGGGTGAGGCAGCCTCGGTGACACGGAGCAAACGTGTCTGGGCTCCTAGCCTGCGGCCCTTGCTGGAGGACAGCTACCCCAGTGCCCAGTCAGCGCTCATGGCTGATCAGGCTTACACAGAGCATTTTTTAAAAGAAGTCCTCCCCAGACAATCTTTTTCCATTGATTTTTAGAGAGAGTGGAAAAGAGAGGGTAAGACAGAGAAATAACGGAGTGAGAGAAACTCATTGGTTGCCTCCTGGATGTGTGTCAACGAGGGCCCAGGCTAAGGAGAAGTCTGTAGCCAAGACATGTGCCCTTGACCGGAATCGAACCCGGGACCCTTCCGACCACAGGCCGACGCTGTCTCCACTGAGCCCAGTCAGCTAGGGTGCAGAGATGCTTTTTTGACAGATGCTTTTTTGACATT